TGACAAAAAATGCCACTCGAAAGTGCTAGTTGTACACCGATGTGCAATGTTGCCAACCATGAGAATTATTACTAGATAAAACTGTGACAGATGGACAGAATAAATTCATTCGATTCGTAGTTGGATGTGAAAGAATTTCCCGAAAGGATGACACCAAACGAAAGTAAAGTTATCAAGGTAAATCCCCCATTTTAATATTCCATTGTGAACAATATTAATGTATGTCTGTCTGTGTATTTTAGGATAATCCCGATAAAAAGTCTCTCAAGGAGTTGACTTTCTCTGTAATCGGCGACGATGGTGTTAGGCGAAATATTCCTGCATTGGTACATATTACATACCCATATGTATTCCAAGTACAATTAAAATGCATATAATTCTGGTTTTTAGGATAAACATTGGGCACCACGATCCATATTTTCCAGCTACACTGGCCTGGTAGTTTCCGGTGGCCATTTCAAGGAGGGAGCTGCCTTGGAGGAATGGAAACATGAAGCGGAAACTTTCAAAAATGATATGGAATTTTTGTTAAGCCTAAGCCAGCATGAGTAAGTCAGAATGGATCAACCGACATAAAAGAGTATTGAATATTAAAACTTTCCCTTTTTAGATTTTGGTCATATTTGTTGTATCAACAATCTGCCCTGGCGGCGATTGTTTCATTTTTACAAAAAGCCACACCATTCTATATAAATGTATTCACCGAATTACCTGCAGCCGAAATTCAAGAGCTCTATGAGTGTATTCTAAATCTGATTTTACGCATAATATGTCGCATACTCTCACCCAAGGAGTCCAACGAATCATGGTTGAAAAAAGACGAATTGAAGATGTTGATATACGAAAATTATCTTGTTTCCATTCCCATGCTTTTCGACCTATTAGTAGCGGTGGGAAATGCTACTCGTGAAAATAGTGAATTGCTGAAGAAGATTTTCGATAATCTTTTACTGCTACAACCGAATTATAAAAAGGATTTACAACATGCTTTAACCTATTTCCGCGTGGCATTCCGTTCGATACATACCCAAACGGAAAATGAGGGTTTTGAAGGTGCCGGTGGTGGTTTACCCGATGAATGTTGTGAAACGCCCTTTGATGATGTTGTCCTCTACACATTGGATTGTGCTTTCACATTGAGTGTGCTGTTGGATGTATGTCCCGCTGCCAAGCAGATATGTTCGGAAATTAAATTGGCACAAGTCATTGCCAACTTCTATGATAATACACTGCCGTTCCTTTATAAAAATATTTATGTGATAAATGAACAATCCAAAAGTCTTTTGTGGATAAATCATGCTCGTTTCCAGTTTTTGAAAGCATTTCGTTGCATTGCCTATTCTTATGTTGAAGCTGTTTTGACGAAACCGTAAGTTGTTTCTCATTTGGTCCTTGCAAAAAATCAATTAAAATTGTTTGTTGTTTCCAGAGAGACTGGTCTCATGGCAGCTGAGGAATTCATTGGCCTTATGACGGAATGTTTATCTGAACAAACATTTGTGGTTGATTATGAACGCCACTATCCCTTATCGTTTGATGTCGATATTTTAAAACAGGCCTGTCCAGATGTGTACGTTTTCTTTCAGATTTGACTTGCATGTTTCAATGGACCCTTATATTTATTTTATATTTTCTTTTAAATAGGGATAGTTTCAAAGCCGATTTTGTTGTTGATGGCTATCGCCGCGAATGTGCCAGTGCAGCAGTAGACAATATAAATAACAACAATATCAAAGAAGAAATTTACAATGAGAGTCCCAGTCCAACATTGCCAAATAGCTCAGAAGAAGCTGCCAATAACCTAACACCCAAGGATAACAGTAATTCGAACGAAACTTCTGCAACAAACAGAGATTTAGAATTAGAAGTTACAGTAGTGCTCGATTGTTTACCACACCTGGGCACTGGTTTTGTACGACGTGTGCTCAGCCGTTATTACAATGCCGAGGAGGCAATATCTGCAGTTCTGGAAAATAATTTACCACCCGATCTAGCTGAAGCTGATCAAACTGAAGTCTATATACCACCAGATCCCCAGGACAAAATCTATAAAGATACGGGTGTTAAACATTTTAATATCTTTGATGGCGATAAATACGATATAATGACTCAGGATAATCCTCAGTGTATTATAAAGAAGGGTAAAGGTATGCCGAATGTGCCCAAAGATGCTGCACAATTGCTCGATGATAAACGCGATTTGGCTGCCATACGACATAAATATCAAGAATATTCCTTGGTCACCGAGGGCGATGATGAGGCCGGAGAGAATGATGAATATAACGACGAATATGATGACAGTTATGAAGCTTTGCTGGAGAGTGAAACTCGTGTTGTAAAATCGAAAGATATGAAACAAGTTTTGGCAAATGTAGCCGATGAATCGGAAGATGATGAAAATGAATCGGAGGAGGAGGATGCGAGTCAAAAGGAAAATCGTAAAAATATGAACTTTTGTGAAAATCCAGAAGATATACGGGCCCGTTACGAAGCTAGGCGGCAAGCTAAATGGTCCAAGAAGGGACAAGCACCTCCAGCGCCACAAAACTTTGATGTGGTTGGCAAACAAAAGGGCCAGGGGCAAGAGAAAGATGTTTTGCGAAATCGCCAAAAGAAAGAGGCCAATAAATCGTCACGAGCCAATCATAATCGTAAGGCTGGTGCAGCCTTTAAACGTAGTAAGGGTATGCTTTAAGCACAATTTGATTTTAATGTGAAATTTAATAAAAAAAACAAAAATATGTAAATGGTTAATATGTAGTGTAAAAAATATGATACTAATAAAAATATATATATTTTTTATGAAATCACTTGAAAAGAAATTTAAAGATACGAATTTATATATATTTTAGAATATTATTTAGAGTATACCCTTTAAAATCCAGGCTTAAAATCGGGCATTCCATTCTCTTAATATTGGATGTTTAAAAATTTAAAGTTGTAACCCTAGAAGGAATGCGCTAATAAATCTTATCTTCCAACAAGGTGCAGGCTTGATAATTGTACATTGTGCGATGTTTGGTTCAAATCAGGTAGATATAACAAAAGTTATTTTCAACAAAATGTTGACACTTTTTGTGTGGGAGCTACCAGACGGAGTGGGCCTATGTTCCCATCTTCGATCTTGACTTAGATTCGTTAAAAATACGACGATGTGCAGAGTTTGGGCCAAATCGAACATTACATTCGCTTAATATTAGATTTTTAAAAATTGAAAATTTGTTAACAGAATACGTCATTTTGGACTCAATTCAACACGCTATGCAAAATTTCGCCTTAATCGATCAAAGATAATGTCTACTTGTTTACATTTAACAAAAAAATATTTTATATTTTACATATCTTGGAACTTGCAAATAAAGCCATTTTTCTCATACATAACATTTGTGTATATGTATATTGAGTATATGTAATAAAAATTTAGAATTCCATCTAACCATTTGTAAAAATTTCTTAAAAATCGGTTAAATATTCGCTGAGTTATTTGCATTTGAATTTAATCATGTTCCGAAATATACTTACTGTTCGGTGCTGGGCGCCTATTACCTGAAAATGAAAAACCACACAAAAATTGATTTATTTTAAACGGCAATTTTTTGCTCTGCCGGTTTGTTGTGAAAATCATAGCATACTTTTAGGCCAAGGCACATTCTGATTTTGTATGCAACGACGGCCTGACACATAATTTAGGTTTTTATCATGGAAAAACATTCTTAAAAATTAATCCTTAACTAACTCTGAACAAATTCTTTATAAAACACGTTTATATTCATCATAACCGTTGGGGAAAAATATCATTTAAAAATCTTACCCAAATATTAATTTAAAATCGGCCAAAATAAAACACAAATACAATTTGTTTAGTACTAAAAATAAAGAATATATATTTTAAAAATATTTTGAGAGTTGACTACAACTCTATCTATGAAAAAAATAAGAAAAACAAAATCTCAAGATTTTATTGTCAAAGAATCATATATGATTTTGGCACATGGTCGGTGTTTGGGATCTTCATTTGTGCACAAATAAAATAACTCCATTATGACGTTGTAATCTTCATGCAGCTCAAATGCCTGGGGTAATGGTGGTCGAGTACCATATGGCATCGTTGCATCCAATGGCTCCAAATCACTTTGTTCTAGGGAATTTTCTTCATCTTCATCCTTTTCAGTATCATCTAACCTTTGTGAGTGAGGCGGTATCAATGCTATGGTCTCATATATTATAAGACCCAAACTAAAAATATCAGCTTTACTGTCAATCACCTCTTCATCTTCGATAATTTCTGGGGCACACCAAAGTTCAGTGCCCACATATCTTAGTTCGGGATTTTCTTTGAAATCGATTTTGCCCTCCTTATTCAGCGGCAGGCTTACACCAAAATCACACAATTTACAGATTTCAAATTCGCCTTTAACCAAAATATTGTGCGACTTTAAATCCCCATGTAACAACATTGCCTCCGTGTGCAAATAATTCAAAGCACTCGATATATCGGTCAACATTTTCCTGATATCCTTAGCCGGCAAAGGCCCAGCGTCCTCTTCCAAACGTTCTTCCAGTATTGATCCCAACGATGTGCTACAACATTCCAAGGCCAAGCTATCAACTTCATCGTTATCCTTTTTTGCGATAGCACGAAACCCCACAATATTAGGATGTTTTAATTTGCGCAGAATTTCGGCTTCTTTTCGTATACGATCATTAAATATTTTGGAATTTTCACCATTTGTACGTCGGGTGCGTTGCGAGACACGTTTAATGGCCCACGGTGAACGTATTTGGCCGCTGGGTTTTGGTGATCTTTCCAAGAAGTACACATTAACTCCGGTGCCATAACCAAGTGTTTTCATCAATGGAGAGGCTGGCACCTGTAGTGGTGTGTTAACTTCTAGGTGAAGATTTCTGAGGGGTTTCCTAGGTGTCTCCATATCGGTAAAATACTATTGGGAAAATATTGAAAGTTTAAAAAGAACGCGCTAGAAGGCAGACAACAAAGCGGAGTGATTTCTTTGGCGGCGCATGGCATATTAGTTGAACGGCGGCGGCACGCCGACGACGCAAAATGTAAAAAAAACAAACGTCATGAACAAACGTAAAAACAAACCAGACGTCACACAAAAACATATATTTTTTCGAAATAAATTACAATTTTTACCTTCTTGTGAATTTTTTTGTATTTGAAAAATATAATATAATAATAAATACGAACTTTATTTCATTTCGACCAAACTGGCGTCCATTTTTAGCCGGTTTGAGTAAATAAATTCGGCGGCAGCACGTCGCCGTTTCCTTAAAGACCCCACCTCTGCTAGAACAAAGACATAGAAATCATAAAGACTCGACAAAATGCATACAAAGACATAGATGCATATTGACAAAATAGTTTATGAAAACATATCCAGGGGGAATCAGGTATAACAGAGGCATGTTAAGAATAAAAACGCCAATACGCGAAAATGTCTGTATAAAATGTAAATAAAATCACAGGTCTGCACTCAAAATATATCGGGTATGTTCTGGAACTCATGCGTGTTCTTTTCACTTCACACATACACTTCACCTCAGAAGCTACCTCCTGTTCTGCTTCTCACGTGAATTGAAATTTTGAACTGCGACAAAAATAAACGTCGACATGGTACTTTGCAGAAGTAGTATTGCCATACAATATAAACTGTATTCGTTTTTAACATTGTTTCTGTAATTTATTAGTAATTCCGTTAATTCTAACTATAATTTTATTATTATTTTTTAATATTTTATTATTCGCAACATAAAATATATGTATTAAAAACTCTGCAATATCATTAATTTGTTGATTGATTTAAGGGGAACATTTGGTAACCCTATCTTCTTCGGCCTTACTTAAAATCAGCTGTCTGTGTCAAGCAAGAAATTCAGTTGAAGAAAATTCAAGACAAACCTTAGTATCTATTTAAAATTTGTTTTTAATGGTGTTTCATGTTTATTTTGTGATTTTAAACAATTTATACGCATTAACAACATATCAATCTATCATCATGTTCCTTTATTATTTCAAAAAAGATTTTATTTTATATGGAAAAACATGAATACACCCGACTCTCACTATGAAAATGTAAGTGTAAAGAATACACCTCAAATGGGTGTAAAGTGTGTTACAGAACACCTCGGCGTGTGTTCGATACACTTCTGCCGTTGAAGTGAATGCCAGAACATGCCCGTATGTTTTCATTTTATAAGCTTAAGATATAGCACTAAAAACGTTTAATAGTGTTTGCTCTGTTGTTATGATATCGTAACAACAGAGGAAAAGCCATCTGTTGGGAATTGTTTACGTATCGATTGTCCTATCTTTATACTTTTATGTCTTTTATGTTGATACGTAAGCAATTTCCAACAGATGGCTTTTCCTCTGTTGTTACGATATCATAACAACAGAGAGAACAATATTAAACGTTTTTAATGCTATATCTTAAGCTTATAAAATGAAAATACATATTTTGAGTGCAGGCCTCTAATTTTATTTACATTTTATTCACACATTTTCGCGTATTGGCGTTTTTATTCTTAACATGCTTCTGTTAACCTTGATTCCCCCTGGATATTTTTTCATAAACTATTTTGCCAAAATGCATTTTGTCGAGTCTTTATGGTTTCTATGTCTTTGGCTAGAAGTAGATTAGGGATAAGTGAATCGACTTTCGACTGATCGACATTTTGTATTGAAAAATCTAAAAGTCGACTTTTGATTTTTTAAGAAATCGCAAATTCATCTTTTCGAATCAATTTTCTTCATAAATACTTGGTTTATTTTCACCAAACCCAAATTGCTCTAAAATTATACATTCCACAATTTTATATTCAGCCTTAAGGCGGGATCACATGATTGCCGCAATGCGCCAATTATTGGTGCATTTTATATGCCAATCGTGTGATTGCACAATTTATTGTCCAATGCGACAATCAAAAATAAATTGTGCTGATTTGCGGCAATCAAATACAACTCTGGTACGACAATCGTGTGAACTGTTAATAGACAACCTTGCGCAAATTTAAAGTTGAAAAATGCGTCAATATTTATTGTTTTCTAGTGCGTCAATCAAAGAAGACAATACGCGTCAATAACCTGATTTTTTTTAAATAATATTTTTTCTTGTGTTTGTACCGTCAACATTTCTTTGTCGTAAGTAAAGTAAAGTTAATTTAAATTGTTGTATTTGCTATAATTATGTTCATATTATGTATTTGCAGCTTTAATATGGAATTCGGTGATTGCATTGTATACGAAAATTCAGCTGAGCTTGAGTTCTTTTCCCCCGATCAGCAACCAGAAACACCTGTGCCGAAAAAAAGAAAAAAACCAAGTGTAATTTGTTCCTGGACCTACACTGCAATACAGGAGCTGATACAAGCTGTGGAACAGCATCCATGTGTTTGGCAGTATTCATCCACCGAGTACAAAGATAGGAATAAACGGGAGCAGGCATGGCGGGAAATTGAAAAAATGTGTACAGGGCACACGGTGGAAGACTGCAAGGCCAAATGGTGCAACATTAAAACGGCCTTTCAAAATGTAAAAAAAAACTAAAATCAAAATCTGGTCAGGGAGCCGAAAATACCATACCACATTGGCCGCATTGGTCTGCAATGCAACTTTACAACGACCACTCTGTGTCAAAAATGTCAAGTACAGTGTCAACATTAGATTTGGATGACTCTGGAAGTACTTCACAACATGCCGCTGCTGAGATTGTAAAGGTAGACAAAAGTGACATTTTGCAGCGTGCAGTTAAGTGTTTAGATGCGGAGGAAGATAATTGGCACGCGATTGGGATGTATTTGGCATCACAAATGCGAGAAATTGCCAAGAAAAACAAGAAGGCTGCGAACAAACTGCATTTCCAGCTTGTCAAAGTCGTAATGGATGCAGCTTTGGAAGCTGAAGAAGATGATTAAGCCTTGATAAATTTTTTGCGTTATATTTCATTTTTTAAATTGAATTTTTATAGTATGTATATGTAAGTTTTTGTTTTGTTATTTTGTTTGCAATATTGAAGTACCTTCCTAGTCCGTATTTTTTTAGATACTAAAAATGAATTAAATAAAACTAGTAAATTTTCTGATTTTAAATTAAAGTTTAAATTTTATTTGATATATAAAATTATTTATATATTTTTATATTGCCAGCTCAATTCTCCAATAGGAGACATGAAATACTTTTCCATTTCATCCCGAACAGCCTTTGCTTCACTTGTTATATAAGAACTTGGAACATTTTCTGTTCCACTCACAGCATCTAGTGGGAAGTCATTTCGCCATGTACCAGGAATTAAAGCACCGTCCTCATCGTAGCGATCAACAAGCAACGACGTTGTATAATTTAAATTTTTTTTTAACAAAAAATTGTGTAATGCACAGCAAGCTAGAGTTGTAGAGGTTGTTTTCTCTGCATTAAGCTTGGAAGGGCGTGAAAAAATTTGAAATCGCTTGACCATTATGCCAAATGCATTTTCTACAACACGTCGTGCTCTCGATAGCCTGTAGTTAAATATTCTCTGCCCTGCAGATAAACTTTTACCAGGATATGGCTTCAGCAAATGTTTCTGCATGCGGAAAGCATCATCCGCAACCAAAACAAATGGAACATTTGCTTGACGACCTGGCAATGGTTTTGGAAGTGGCAAATTTAGCTCATTATTGTTTAAAGCACGTTGAAAAGTACAGTCTCCAAAGACTCCACCATCCGACACACGACCATTACAGCCAACATCAACGTATAAAAAGTTGTATTCGGCATCAACAACTGCCATTAGCACTATACTATGTGTACCTTTATAGTTATAGAAGGTGCTTCCTGAATTAGGTGGTGCTATAATTTGCACATGTTTGCCGTCAACCGCCCCTATGCAGTTCGGGAAGTTCCATAGTTTGTTAAATTTGAAAGCAACGACATTCCATTCTTCCTGCGTGGATGGTATCTACATACATATCAAAAGAAATAATAAGTCAATTAAAAAGCATAAATATGTGTGTATTTAGATTTTTCATACCTTTATGTATGCACCTTTTAACGCTTTATAAATAGCATCACAAACAATTGGTACGAAAAGTGATATGGTATTTGGGGCAACACGGAAGAAGACCGAAAGACTTTTATAACTGTCACCAGATGCAAGAAATCGAAGTGTCACAGCTAAGCGTATTTGTTCGGGAATAGCCTTTCGCATGTTTGTGTCTTGTTTTTTAATATATGGTGACACTAGTTGCAACAATTCGATAAACGTTTCGTCATCCATCCGGATAAAATTTTTAAACAAAAACTTTTGGTTTTCGATTTCCCGGAATTCCATTAATGTTTTGTCATATGCACCATCAGTGCTTCTTTTTGTGAGCCACTCTCTGACCCACGTACTTCTATTTACTTTTTTTTCTTTTCTTTCCTTTCATTTTTCTCATCGTCAAATGCACACACCATAATTATAGCTGCTGCAATTTTCTTTTTTTTTAAAGAACACATCTTAATAAAACAAATTTTTAAATGCTTTAACATTTTTAATAAACAAACTTTGACACATAGCAGCTGCTTCTGATATTTGCCGTGTAGTAGAACAATCGTGTGACTGAAGTTGGACAATAATTGTCACTTGATGGTTTTGAGACAATATGCGGCAATCAAATTTATGAAAAGTTGGACAATCATGTGACCGCAGAGAATTTGATTGTGACAATTTATTTATTGTAGTAAAACTTTGGACAATAAAAATTGGTTTAAATTGGCGCATTGCGACAATCATGTGATCCCACCTTTATTCTTGACATCAATTCACCGTGAATGTGTTCGTTATTCTGAACCAGAACATGCAGCGAATTTGTCCGCATTTTCACTTTCCCCTTATTCTGACTTAAATTCGAAAGCGAAAAAAATCCGCTTTGGGGGAGAATTAGTTATTCTGAATTACGGGGAGTGGGAGAATGTGATGGCATTTTGTGCGAAATTTAAAGGGAGATGGCTACAAAAATATAAGTTTTAAATATTTTTATGAAAAATATCTACACAATATTTTATTACGAATTTGAATATTATAAATTGTTGTATGAATATTTTTAATTCAAAAACAACAAATAAAATGTCATTGGAAATCCTATTGAAAACGATGCATGCTCATCCAAATATTGACGCGGAATGTATAAAGGCAATAAGAAATATTTATGCCGATTCTAATGCAATTTGGATGCGAAATACAGATATTTTGTATGAGGATCTCTCTCTTCAAAACAAAATATTACAAATTATGGAAAAACCGCATATCCAAATTTTCCTAATGAGCCGCTTAACAGTAAAAAACTCAAGCTACAGAAATATGTTTTTCTCGCATTTTTGCTTCTCCATATATACATTCAGAATAAGGTAAGAATATGAAAGCAATTTTTTTCACAAGCGAGATTTCTCCCTAGCGAATATCCAGGATAAGGCCGACTGTTTAATCGGTTTAGAACTTTGATGCATCTTTAGAAAAACTCTTACAGATGTTATGCTTATGGGACGGATAGTCTTTTGAAAAATTCTTTTAAAAATCATTTTTTACATTATTATTTAAATCGTTATATAATTGAAGATACTCACCACCATTTGCTACCACAAATGCAATCAAAAATATTAAAATATCAAATAATTTTAAGTTTTGTTGTTGTTGTTTCAGACCTATTGAAATCAAATTTTTTTACAAAGAAAACAAATTAACACAACGCACACATGAAGCGGAAAAAATAAGAAAATAAATTGATAAAAGAAAAATTAACAAAAGTTACACACTAAAAAAAAACTGACCTTATTTATATATGTTTATCATCATCATTTTTTTATAACTGCAATTGGAATTTAATTTGTTTGTCATTGGTTTTTATTCTTATTTTTTATTTGTTTTTTTTTTGTGTCTGCGGGCATTTCAATCGGAGTTGTTTGTGGGATTTTTATTCGAATTTAATTTAATTTGGTTTTTTGGGGGGGTGTTGTATTCTTTTTTTTAATTTTATGTTTTCTGTTAGCAGATTTAATATGTATATAGTACTTCATCCATTATTAAATACATTATTATTTTAATATATTATTTATTTTAAATTTATTTTTTTTTGTTGTTTTATTTTATAAATAATAATAAAAAATTGCTTCAAATTTACAATAGCATTTTGTTGATTTTTTTTTGTAATGGGTTGTTTTTTTTTTTTTTTTGTTATTTTTCTTCAGAGAATTTTGTCTTTATTTATTTTTTTAATGTAAACTAACATTGTTTTGTGTAGTTGTTGTTGTGTGTCTGTGAATAATTTTAATTCGAAAGAAGATCATTTTTTGATGTTCATTTTGTGTGTATGTGATTACTGTTTTTATTTTGTTTAAAGAAAAAAATTTTCACACAAAAAACTAAATAAAATTACATTATTTATATATGTCAAAACAAGTATCTCTATTTAAATAGCAAACCCAAAGTTTGAAAACTTAAATTAAATATTTTTTACAAACTTAATTATTACATATATTTAGATTAGAAGTAGTTGAGGTATAACTAAAATATATGTAAAGGCAAAGAAAATTAACTATAAACTAATATTTTTATTGGATCACTTTTTCATTTTGAAAATAAAAATTATATTTTTTTATTAATTTCAAATATATTTGTTTATATATTATTAAAATATAAGAAACATGATATAATAAAAATACATATGAAGAAATTAATGCACTTAATGCGAATGACAACATGAACATATAGACAAAAAATGTTTGCTGAGAGAGAACAGAAAAAAGGATTTTATTTGTTGTGAAAGAGGGAAAACATATTTTTATTAATTTGGGCCAGGAAAAAAAAATATTTTTCATTAATTTACTTTTAAATATTTTTAGTCAGTTTTACATTTTTCAATTATTTTTTTTATTGAAAAAATTGTTTTTATTAGTCTTTGCCTAAAAGTATGCAACGTAAATGGAGTTATTTCTCAATTACTGTAATGACGGCCAAATAAATATAGTTGCCTATGAAAATTGCCAGAGTTATCACAGTGACAAAAAAACAACATTTGCCATTATCAGCTGCGGCTACCTAAATGTTTCGGGGTTTCCGATCGCTAATTTTGTCAATATTTATAGCATTATTTAAAAAAAATATATATTTTTTAATAAGAGTATATGCAATAAAAATGGTTGTAATTTTTAGGGACAATACACAATTGGATAATAATTTTCGTTCCATCGAAAAAAATCCAATTACGACAAGGCGGCTTTCATTCACGAGTCAGAGCAGGGGGGAAATAATTCCGTAATTATCCCAGTGCTCAGAATTTTTTTTATCGCTGGGGTAAAACTTACGTTATTTTTAAAAAATTCTGTTCACTTTTTCGCCAAACTGAAAGTGTTTATATAGAAAATATGACATAATAAGCCACAACTAGATTGATTGACCTTTGTTTATTTTGTGTAAAGCCAAACTAACTACTCACCTTTCTCGCAAACACGATCAAATATACTTACACTGTTTATAAAATTTCCAACTATATTATGGCATTACGTACGTATGGGCCTATAGTACATTCTGGACATGATCGCGGAACAAGTCAGTAAATTGATTGAGACATTCTGATATTTACGACCCCTATTCTACACATATCGATGTCATACAAGGATATCAACGTCATTTTGTTGGTATTTATGAATTTCTAAAAATTGAATGAGAAAATTGTGCATTCTTTAAATTAATATAAATATCAGAGCAAATCGAGAAATTTAATTAATCATCCAGTTGCACAACTAAATTCCCATTAGCCGTTTCCCTTGGGAATGATCCCAGTACCTTCCGAAATTATTCAGGGCATCATCACTGCGCTACGTTGCTCACTATATACCTGCTGTTGGATGTATACCCGAAATAAAACTTTACTTTCTATTAGAGGCAAAGATACTAGCGAATGATTGTGATGAGCCAGCCAGGGAAGAATGCCGGCAGAGGTGAAACATACAGACCGATTTCACATATGTCCCTACTAGTAAAATACTCTTGAGGAACTATTCCATCGACATGGAAGAAAAACAGATTTCTGGTTGTCCACAACAGCATTTCACACCACATCCACATATGATGACCAGAACATATACTGTAAAAACCTTCGATCGAGATTGAAAACTCGGATTATCAACTATGATCAGGTCAGGACATTAACCTGAAAACTACAAAAGGCAGACTAATGTAGATTATCTACATTAGAAGGCAAAAATCACCCTCAAAATGAATAGAATTCTACAATATATACATATATATCTATTTCCAAATTGAAGGCAACTGTTATGGGGTAATCATGAACATAACCAGGCAAATTAAATATCCCCAAAATTATATCGAAAAACACAAAAAAAAAAATTAAATTTTTTGAAAATGTTCAACGCCTCAGAATTGAAACCGAATATGAAAATGAGGAAAAAAAAGGCAGTGAGTAATGATAAAAGGATAATGATGTATAGTAATGGAAGAAAAGTGGAAACCATTTGTGAAAATCAACGGAGCCATACAAAACAACATATTTTGTTTATCAATGAAATTAAAGATTAAAGTTTTGATTTGTTTTTTTTTTCATTTTTGTTTTTAATAGGTTTCTTTTTATATTTTTCCGCTTTTCTTTTTTGTTGTTGTTTTCTTGATGGGTTTTTGTGTTTTTAATCTTGTATACAAATTAAACTGTTGTTGTTGATGTTGCTGATTTGCCCCCTCGTAAAAAGGCCTAAGTTGTTATTAAATTATATAAGTTGTGATTTGTTTCTTTTGTTTTTTTTTTTTTTTGTTTTCATCTTTTTTTGTTTTACTCTTACTGCTTTTTTGATCATCATCTTGGTTTTATCATTATCATCATATCATTTAATAATATATCATGTTATCAATCTTTTTTGTTTGTTGTTGTTGTTTTGTTTTTAATTTAATTTATAATAGAATTATAATAATTTATATAATAACGCAAAAAAATAATAAATTGGTAATAATAAAAAAATAAAATAAAAAATATTTTAAATGTGGTTGGTTTCTTCCTCTTCTCTTCTTCTTGTTTTATCTTTTGTTTTTATAATAAATCATAATAATAATGCTAAATTAATAATGTATGTATAATATAATTTTTATTTTTTTATGGATTTTTTAATGTTTTTTTTTTGTTTTGTTTGTTTAACTTTAAATGTTTTTAAATTACAACGGAAGTGTCGGTGTATTAGTAGTTGGTGTAGGCGTCAGCATTGACGCGGATGGAGGATAACGCAACGTATGTTGTGACGTTGCCTGTTGTATATAATCCTGACTTGGATTATTTAGAACGCTATCCCTTGAATTTGAATGTGAAGTGGCGCGTAGCAATGTAACTGCTTCGCGTTCTGGACTACATTGAACACCATCTAGTCATTTTTGACGCGATGATTTCTTCTTCTTTCGTTTAAAGAAACAACAACATCTGTAAGGAAATTGAAATGGGAAAAGGTGTTTTAATTTAATTTGTTTTATACAAAAATGTTATGTAATAAGAGCTCTGTAGATACAGACCAATTAGTGTATATAAAGACATATGGTCTCCAAATATACCATTTGGTCTTTATAAAGACGTATGGTCTCTATACATACCAATTTGTCTTTATAAAGACCTATGGTCTCTATACAGACTAATTAGTCTTTTTGAAAACCTGTAGTTTCTATACATACCAATAGGACTTTATAAAGACCCGTGGTCTCTATACAGACCAATTGGTATTTATAAAGACATGTGGTCTCTATACAGACCAATTGGTCTTTATAAAGACCCATTGGTCTCTATACAGACCAATTGGTCTCTATACAGACCAATTGGTCTCTATACAGACCTGTGGTCTCTATACAGACCTGTGGTCTCTATACAGACCTGTGGTCTCTATACAGACCTGTGGTCTCTATACAAACCTGTGGTCTCTATACAGACCTGTGGTCTCTATACAGACCTGTGGTCTTTATAAAGACCCGTGGTCTCTATACAGACCAATTGGTCTTTATAAAGACCTGTGGTCTCTATACAGATCAATTGGCCTTTATAAAGACCTGTGGTCTCTATACAGACCAATTGGTCTTTATAAAGACCAATTGGTCTCTATAAAGACCTGTGTGTCTATACAGACTAATTAGTCTTTTTGAAGACCTGTGGTCTCTATACACACCAATAAGTCTTTATAAAGACCTATGGTCTCTATTAAGATCTAAGGTAATTTTAACTGAATGAATCTGTTAACCTATAACTTGGGTGGTTTACTTACTTTGTTTCATCGACTAATTCAACTTCAGGCTGTTGCGTTATGGGAGTATTTGAGTGACCAGCAGTGGGATCGTCCGCATTTAATTCGCCATTTGTCGAACTCACAACCTAGAAATGGAAGAAAACAACAAAAAAAGAAATAAAATATAAAGCATTAAAGTTAAACATTGCAAAGAAGGAAAATCCTCCCCCGTCATCAAAATGAGGGGGGACGACAATAAAAGGAAACACAAGTATACATATTGACATAAACTCTGGAAACGTTTACAAGATGTAATATAAGAGAACAACAATAGTACATAGTAAAAGAAAATATCGGTGGTGTGGAAATTCATATGATTTCAATATCTTATTTAAATGCTGATTTAAGTGGAAGAAAAAAAGTAAAAAGAAAAAAAAAACAAATTAACCTATTCAAAAATGTCAGTTAAAATTGCTGCTGCTTCTTTTGAAGGGAAGAATGGGAAATGGAAGGGAAAATCAATTAAACCTAAATCAGCATTTTCTTAACCAATTCCACCCATTTCGTACTAAAAACAATTACAGCAATGAACACAAAACATTAACACCAAACACTAATCAAAACATATAGATAGAACACAGAGGACACCACTAAATACTGACATTTACTCTAAATACCTTTTTATATATATAATTTTTTTTTTTTTTTTTGTGAAAAAAAAACTTAAAAGAACCAAAAAAATACATTTGCTTGCTTTCCGATGTCTCTCAAAACTATAATTTAACTTAAAACTAGAAATTTTATTAGCTTCCGTCTTTTTTTATTTTTTGTTGGAAGGTGTTGGAGCGATAGGGGAAGAATTGTTATATGATGCAGTTTGTCATCATCATTAGTTTTCATTGCTTGTATCTTTTTTGGATTGATTGCTTGAGTTGGCAGTATTAGTGGGAGCAACAACAGCAGTGGTAGCAGCAGCAGCAGTAGCTGGAACAGCAGTAGCAGCCTTAACTGATTTCTCTTCCTCGCTACGGTATGCCTCAAAGGGACTATCATCGTCAGATGATGAATCTTCGGGTAATTTCTATATTAAATTTTAATTCAAATTTGTCCAGAAAAAATAAAAAAGTTTTTGAATTTCTTTACTCAAATTAATCCTCACAAAATAACAACATAAAGACATAAGAAAGGTTTTATTTTTGTGGGTGCTTTAAGAGAGGGCATTTATTTTTATCAAAACTATGTCATTGTCGGCATGCAATTATTTTGTTAAAAAATTTCAAAACATTCCATATTAAAAATAACATCATGCATTAAAATAAAATTTGAATGTAAATGGATTTTGTTTTTATTTTATTTCGTTTAACCTAATAATCATTAGTGTAGTTGTTTAAGATAATTTTTTGGGAGTGAATATATATCAGGGAGGAAAATGCTCAAATTTCATAATAGTTGGTAAATAAATTTTTAATTCAACACTGTAACTTTTGCAGAAAAAAAACTCCGTAACTTTTACTAAAATTTTTTTGAGACTATTGAGAATATCCGCAACCAAATTGGCTGCAATTTAGTAATTGTTTGTGGTTAGGAATCTGAATCAATTTTTGTATACCCTAACAAATGTCCCTACCAAAATGTAAATATATATCGGTCCACTTTAAGGTATAACGTGCATTTAGCTATAACAATTGTTGGTATATTCGACAATTTTTTCAATAAAATTGACAACTGATATGTTGGATTTTGACTGAGTAGAAAAATCTCCATCATAAAATACCCTTATATATCGATTTACCTTTAGGTATATAGTCCATATAAAATATATATCCCAAACAATGTTTGTTTGGTATTTTAAGGATTTTTGACAGATACTGACTCATAGTTGGATATGACAAACATTTAACGATAACCCCAATTTTTACCGAATTTTAAGATTTTAGTAAAATTATGCATCCCTTTGCTCCTTTTTTCGTAAAATTTTATTATAAATATACATTTTTTAATGTTACTTATGATTGTGCATTATTTACGAAAAAAATGTCTACTTTTTATACACTGTATGCTCTACAAGAATCTATCTACACAAAGAAGTGCACTGATTTGTGGAACTACAATAGATTCAAAAAAATACTGCTGCTGATAATTGTATTGAAAAAGGAAACACATTACAAAACTATACCCTACACCATATATAAAAAATGAAATATGGATGTGAATGGTATATGTAATTCGTGACAAAAAAGTACCGAACAAAAAAGAAAATAACGTAAACGTTGAATATATATTAATAAAATCAACAATACATATTATTTATAACCTAACCTCAAATGTTAAATGTAGTGGTTGATAATTACAAATGGAACACAACTATTGATTTATTCCCGTAGTGCAATAATCTACTATTTGTACTATTTTCTTCGATATTGTTGTAAAAATGCAGATTCTTGTAGTACGGCAACAGATCATATGTTATTCAAAGGAAACTGTCTTTATTTAAAAGAAAAAATCGATGTTATCGATAAAATCTATTTTTGTTACTGCAAATCTCTACATTATAATAATTCATATAAATCAAGAGTTTTCCTTTTTTTTTGAGGAATAGAAAACCGGAATGGATGTACTTCCCAATTCAATATAAAAATTTTATTAAAAGTAAACACAGTTGATGATATATTAATTAAACTAATATAACAAACAATAATTATTAAAGGCAGTTTTCCACCTTTGGATCCCTAGCATATATGGCAGCAGAGAGAAATATAATTTTGGCGGGAAAAAGGAACGAAAAGATGTTTATGGGAGTATACGGTGTTTATGGATGGACCAGGATATAAATAAGGAAAAAGTCGGATAACAATTTATTGTCATGTCCGATGACAACGTAGAACCCCTTGTTAATGGAAGTATTTTGTATAAAACAATGTTGGTATGTACACCCTTTGAATATCGTTGTGATGAACATATTAATGACTGTCAATTTCAGAAAATTTCGGGCGGAACAACACCCAGAAAAAGGAACTTCTATAAAATAATCATATTCAATGCATGAAAATTAATCTGAATTCCATCGGAAAGCCATCATGACTTAATAGGCTCATTTACAGCTCACCCGGTGACTACGTCTAGTAGGAAAATTATCGCATCTGGAACTCGATGAGGCTTCTCAACAAAGCCACCATAGCCTAATGCTATGGTGGCTAGGTGAGGTTTATTAACAAATGATTAATATGTTTTTTTATGATCGGATTTGGATGTATTGCTCTGGAAAACGTATGCTTTCAAAATTATCTTGACTTTGGAGGCCAATTTTCAGCTCGATGGATACGTCGTCATGTAGCAATATTGTCGCATTTGGGACTCGGAAATTCCAAAAAGTTATTGTCGAGAAGCCTCTATCCTAATCCCATGGCGGCTTGGTGGATTTACACATGATAAATACTATTTTATGATCGAAGAGATGTTGCATGGAATTGATCTGGAAATGGTTTGCTTTTAAATCGGCGTATCTACGTGGCACTTAAGCAATGAAACCATTGCTGTTTAGGGGAAAAGTTTCCGGACTTCACCTTGTCTGGAAGAGGGCACCTCCTCCTCTTTTGGGCCACTTACAAGAAAATGTATACTTCAAAATCCCAACGTCGATTTAAGACCTCAAAGATATAAAACATGAGAATATTGAAAATATAGGACAGCTGCCTTTTAGCAAGGTTATCCTCTGAGAAAACAAAATGTTAGAATATGCTCATATAACCATGAAAATACCTGAAACGGAACCGGACGGACCTTCGTGTCTGTACTGATAGAATCATATCAGAAAAGCCAAAATTGTCGCATCTGGGCCCCAGAGGAAATTAAAGAGTTCTTGTTGAAAAGCCTCTCCAAAGTCGATTTAAGACCTCAAATATATATGTCATGTGGATATAGAAAATATAGGACAGCTGCCTTTTATCAAGTTATATGGTCCTGTAAGCGTCTTTTAACTTATATTGTTTTCCATTACTAATGCCATACTTTCCCCTCTTTATTTTGAAATAATATTTGAATACAAAAATAAGACTTTTATTATAATTGACCAAGTTTTTTTTCTTTTTTGGACAAGCCAATAGTTTTGTTTTTCCTCTAAAATATCGCGCGAATAAAAATAAATTTGAGAAAATCGTTTTGTTGATGAACATGATGATAATTCAATGATTACTACCCCTACCATCCAAAAAATATGGTGTAAGGTGGGTGTATTGAAAAATATATATTCAAACAATGTCTAACTAAGAAAAGCCAAAAAGTACTAAGACGACAAATTGTTTTTGTTGTCCACACAACAACACATATTTATACAAATTTTAGGTTAGGTTTTCAATTGTTTTTTTTGTATTAGATACCTTGAATGAATGTAGAGTAAATCAAGTGAAAACATTATAACTGAAAACACCAAAAATATAAGAGTCTGTTGTTGAGGTTGTTGTGGTTGGTTGGTTGTTGTTGTTGTTGGAGGTGTAAAGGGGTAGGGAAGTAATAGAGTAGAATATAGGCAAAAACGTACGTACAACACACAAATTGTAAATTGTAGAAAAAACAAGAACAAGGTCAGGAAGGAAGAAGAATAAGACAAATAACAATAATAAAAAAGTAAAATGTTTGACGCGAAAAGGATACACAACATTTGTTTTGGGGGAAAACCATAAAATTCAAAACATAAGACAAAGAAACAAAATAAATATTTGGAACAACACACATAACCTTTAATTTATACAATGAAATACAATTTTGAAAAATAACTTTCTAAACATAATTCAAACATTTTTTTTTTCGATTACAAGACTGAACAATGAACGTTTTTTTTTTCAATATATAATATGTTTGCTTTAATTAATTTTGTATTTAATTCCAGTATATTGTTTTTGTTTTTACAGAAGAGCCAGACGAGACAAACAATAAAAGGAAAATAGAGAAAGAAAAAAGAACAACAAAATGATGTTCGACACTCAATAACGACTTACCTGTACAGAACCATGCCTATCGGCAGGCGTAAGATTGCCCAGTGTAGCACCTGGTTTGGGTACATCTGGCCACGCGGCAACACCTCCTTTGGCATTTGTCTGTGTTTTTAGGACGTTCGAGTTTGAATTCATTGCGTTTGGTGTCAAATTTTTTGGGTGATAGATGATTGGTTGGGAATCAAAAATGTGTCATCCACAATGGTAGAGGAGTGTTTTTTGTTTGGAATAGTTTTCGAATCAATTTGAAAGGTACGCAGCACCACACACCCATTTCGTACCCACACCACACACATTCATAGTTGTTGTTGTTGTTTTGTTAAAATGTTGAAAGTTTGTTTTGAAATGTCATTGGAAAGGAGGTGTTACAGTTCGTTTTTTAATTTGAATTTTGTTGGTTTTATTTTTTTGTTTTGGAAAAATTATGAAAAAAATAAAAATAAAAATTGTTGTATGAGTTTCACAATAATTCCACATGACATTGTTGTTGCTACATATGTATTTGTTTTTAGAGAAAGAGCATCTAATGGAAATAAGTAATGTGAACAATGTATTGCTGTTGTTGTTGTTGTCTCATAATGTATTGAAACTAACCTTGATACCAAAAATTAGGGAAATAAAGTATATAGAGAGGAACAAAACCGAAAAGCCAAAAAACAAACAAATCCAAAAATACAATGTCATAATTATGAAATGGAAATGGAAAAGCGTTCAATTTTTCTTTTTACCAGAAAAACAATTACTGCTACCATTTTACTGGAAAATTAGATTCTTAGCATTACTTACTAGCTTAAAACTCGCGCGAGAATATGAATTTGCAAATTTGTAAGCTTTCGTAGACTACCAGTTTGCTTAATATTTATTTTTGTTGTTGTAATGTTATGGTTAGTTAAAGCGTTTACAAACACAATACAAATATGAATATTGTAGTAATTTAATAAAAATGTCCTCTAATTGAAATGTACATATATTTTTGTTATTTTCAACCATCACCAATGTTCGGAATTAGTATATAGAACAGAATAGAATATATGTAAATATATAAAACCAAAACCAAGTTTTTTTTTTGAGAGGACCAATTACACAGTGACACATTTTTCAACTTTAAAATCTTGAACCAATCGAGACCCCCAAAATCTTGAAGCTTGTGATGGTGGAAGAAAATCCCTAGCTGGGTTTTGCATTATTAGCTAAGGATTTCTTTTAAATTAATTTTTAAAATATTCGACTGGGGCGGATTTTAGCACAATTTTCGAATAATACGTACTTATTATTGAGTCTATATCTCGTGAACTATTCGAAATATTGCTTTTCTCTCTTAAGCAATATTTTTCCTCTTAATTAGGTCTACAAATTTTCTCTTGAGATAAAATCAATAAAACAACAACATCAAACTGAAAATAGCACAACTGCAAAAAAAATTAAAATTTAGACATACTTTTTCCATGTTTTTCACACTTATTTCAGAAACTGCTACTGACTCGGACAAAAAATATATGACAAAAATATAGCCAATAGCAAAACAAACAACTCTTCTTAAAACCCCGATTTCATTCGTTGACTCCTTCACATAGTGATAGCCTCACAATTTCATCAAAATGAACCAAAGAAATTCACTCCCAATTGTATGTTTATAGAAATAAAAATTGCTATGCTTTTTCAAAAAATAGGTACAAAATTGAAGTAAAAATTAAACATGGAAAAAGTAAGTCGAAATTTTAATTTTCTTGCAGTTGTGCTATTTTCAGTATGATGGTGTTGTTTTATTGATTT